ACATCAGTGAAGAATGTGTCAGGGTTAAACATGTCCAAGACCTAACTCACTATAGCTTTGAAACAGGGAGAGGTACTGGAGGAAAAAAAACTAACAAAATATTTCAGAATGTAAGAAAACGATCAACCTTTAGGGTTTCTCCAAGACTTTAATCAAATAAATTTATTATAATATTTTGAGTTTAAAAAGAACGAACACCTTCTCGTACGACACAACACTTACGATGAGTATATTTTCACAATTAGTTATGGATACAAAGAAAGTTTATTTCAAAATAGCTGTGGCTAACTAGAGCTGTTAAAAGGAACAGGTCTTACCCTTTTTCATACGATTCACTTCTTATGTTCACAAGATACCAATAATACGAACGATTTGTCACCTCTTTACAGGAACACGATTCTGAAAATAAGTTTACACACTTCGGACTTGTTTCATATATATAAAAGTCCAAGGTCAGTGACTGACAACTGATTTGTGATCTTGTTATCAACCTGTAATGTTCACGTAAATAGTTTTATCTCATTACAAATTTATATTGTTTGAACAAAAGGGTTGATGTACTCTTACATGTGCGTATAAAAATGAGAGGCAATTATCCAGTAGGACATGGAAACTTTACACACGATATTGATATCATTCAAAAGACTTGGAAGCATTTGCTTATGGAATAACAATGTCTAATAAGGAAAGGTTCATGAACTCTAAATCGGCTGAACTTTTTCAGTCGCACTGATAATGACCGTTAATATATCGACAAAAATCTTGGGGGTTGCGATGGGTCTTTGGGAGTAATCTTGTTTGGCAAATATCTTGTTTGGCAAGTGCGTGACAACGATTAAATGGTTAATATTGACAAAAGATGTATTCACGAAAACAACTTCTTTTGACTGACTGTTAATCAAAACCACCTGCTAAGTTTTGAAGTATCGATATATGTGTTTCCTCTACACGTCTAAGGAGTCTGTCATTCGGGCGTAATGTGTTGAATCGTTTACGTTCTATTAAAAAGGGGGGGGTAAACAAACTTCATATTGCAACGGTAATGGAAGCCCGGGCGGGTGGCTTTGCTACATGAAATCCGTTTTGAAATGCAGCGACATATATAAGACCATAAAGAGGCATGATTCTATTAATTAGCGACACGAAAATAAATACATTCACACTAACTGGAGATGAGATGCAGTACTCAAAACACTATTCCCATCGTGTATTATTCAAAGAGAGATAACTCTAGCGCATTACTAGATTTCTTAAATCAACATGATAATTCAATTGAATATGAAATGAGTGTTAATTAGCTTGGAAGCAGTGAAGAAAGAAAGCTACACATCAGAAAACGAATTTTTATATGTGTCTGTGCAAAAATTAATATTCCCTTTGAATTCAACTTATTTATCAACTTTTCCCAAGGAACTGATTGGGCAGGTTACAGTAAAAAAATTAACATCCTTTTTGTCATGATGCATATTAATAAATTCTTAGATTAGGTAATTTTCCATAACAGAGTTTCCAAGAAAATATTCTATAATTTTACAGAAATGTGGCCAAGTAAATATGTCATTATATCTTCAATCTAATACTAGTATATCATGAAAAATTGAAAGTGTCTCTCACGCCAGGCAGCATCTCAAAATCATCTTTTCATGAACTATTAATTTAACGTTCATATCGATCATATAACATCCCGGACAGTTATTGCTTAAAGAGCATAATTATGTCGCTTTTATTTTGATTTCTTATTCAAAAATATTATTTTGATTTAAATGCATAAGTATAGTTTAACCATTTCTGTCTTTACTTTGTCGTTATCGGTTGCCCATCTCAGGCTTCCTCGGTTTTTATTTTTTTTTTTAGGGTGGAGGGGGACAATCCAATGAGAGTTAAAAGAGTATTTATCTGCAAATAATTTGTAATTTGTTTGTTTCTTTTGTTCTTTTTTTGTTCTTTTTGCTTATTCCTAACAGTATTCGATTCCTCTATCATATAAGAAATTATCAATTTATACTTATTCCTTTTGTCTCTCTTTCTAGTCCGCGTTTAGTTTTTAATGGGTAGTATACATTTAAGTTTTTTTTGTGGAGTATAAAAGTTTTATTTTGCAATATCTTTTGTTATATACGTTTTCGTTTCTTCATACTCATTTGCTTAATGACCAGTGGCAAATACTTAAGTCATGCATGATCAGGACGATGCATTCATTGTAAAAAAAACTGTAATTTTGTCTTACCAGTTTTGATAAACATGTGCGTCTACTGCGCCTTCTGCTCTCAGAATGCTTTTGGTTGGCGCCATTTATTACTCATAAGTACAATAAGAATACGCACAATTAATTGACCTTGACCTGATAGAAAGTTACAACACACGGAACTTGAACATTTCATGTGAATTATATTTATCAGAAAACTGGAAAGTTTCCATGTGCAGAGAGTTGCGTGCACGTAATTACCCCAGTAAAATCTGGTTGTGAATAAAGTGTGCCAAATGGAACAGTACTATGCGAACTTTCGATTTTTAAATTCCGAAAAGTATTCCAGGAAACAATTACTGAAAAAAGGAGGTGGGGGTATACACAAATGAGACAGCAACCAAAAAAGATGAATGTTTATAGAAATTAATATGCTGGCCTTTTTATAGTGTGTGATAATAATATCTGAGGGAAATCGATGTGTGCTATACCGCGGTTCACTTAAACGCATTTTATGGCAATACAGCTGAATTAATTAAAATGCATTTTTTTGCAGTATTTCAGGAAATGATTTTGCTACGTTACCCATGTTTGTACGTCTGGTTAATGTTTTGTCAGTCGGATATTGTTGGTTGATGTGATCCGTTGTACAGGCTAGTGTGCTTGGTGCTCCCTGTTATTTTTTTTAATGTACTAAAGTAATATGAAAATAAGAAGATGTAGTATGATTGCAAACTAGACAACTCTCCACCAGAAACCAAATGACGTAAAAGGTTAGCAGCTATAAGTCACCGTAGTTTACTTTGCAGAAAATGTAGCATGATATATGCTAACAAGAAATAAGTATCAGTAACGTACAGACACTTGTCACTAAAAATACCTATATACCTTGTAATATTATTAATGTATATATATTTTTTCAGAGACAAGTGTCCGTGTAGTAACGCTTATCAATAATTGTAGTAATATACATGTATGTGTATGTACAAGTCTGTGTATGCAAACAACAAGTGCTAAGAGAATTACAGATACAATCAGATGGGTCGGAGTCGATAAGGATAAATAAATAAAATGTTCGCCACACTTGGCAACCAGATTCTGATATTACTTGGTAAGACAAATTTTTTTTCTCGCCGCTTGCAGAGTTTCTTCCAATGAACGTAAATCTAAAGGAAAACACTGTATACACGTTTCAGATTTGTTCTTTGAATAATTAAAACAGTTTATTGAAACACAATTTGCCTTTGTGGTTTCAATTAATAGCATTATTTTTTCATCTACTGGAAAACGTCACTGACAGATTGTGATAGATGTGAAGTGTCATCTAGAAAGATGGAAAGAAGCATGATCGGTATATATATATACAAAACGTACTCGAAACTTCGAAGGTACAATACTTTGTACAATACACTTTCGTTTTTCAGACAGGTAACCATAGATGTGAATCAATTTACGATATTTTTTAATCTTTCTAGTTTTAAACAATTTATAATTTTCAATCATGGTCTGCTTGTTGTATGAGGTATACTGATTGTAGAAATAAAAAGCAAAAATATCTGATAAATTAATTCTTTGTATTACACAGTATTCATTAAGAATGTTATCTCAAAACTGCTTTAAATAGTCCCTATAGACCCTTTATTACGCAATCAGACTGATACAAAATCAAAACATCTCATATATTTTATGATGGTATGATACTAAACCAATAACGGGAGGGATTGTGCTTGATTTTCACATGATAAAGACATAATCTTTCAATAAGTTTAATTAAGGTCTGGAGCTGGCATGTCGATAACTGCTAGTAGTCCTTTGTTAATTTATGTATCATTGTCATTTTACTTAGTTTCTTCTGTTACCATTTCTGACATCGGACTCGGACTTCTTTTAAACTGAGTTTTACTGTGCGCATTGCTGTGTGTTTGTTAATTCTACATTAGCTAGAGGTATAGGGGGAGTGTTGAGATCTCATAAAACATGTTTAACCCCGCCGCACTTTTGCGCCTGTCCCAAGTCAGGAGTCTCTTGCATTTGGTAGTCTTGTATGTTTTGGGTTTTTTTTTTCTTAATTTTGGTTCATTTATATGTTTCGGAGTTCAGTGTGACGTCTATTTTCACTGAACTAGTACACCTTTTTGTTTAGGGGCCAGCTGAAGATCGCGTCATGGTGCCGGATTTTCTCGCTGTGTTGAAGACCCATTTGTGGCCTTGGGCTGTTTTCTGTTGTTTGGTTAAGTTATTGTCTCTTTGACACATTCCCCGTTTCCATTCTCAATTTTATCCAATACTTCAGTCAGCTTTTGAGTACTAGTTGAGTGTTGTTGGCAATATTCAAATAATTTAGCTTTCAACAACGAGAACAACTTGTGGAGGGAATATGCTTTATTATTGATTAGTCGTATTTCGATTACAATGAAAGTAGAACAGGGCAACGTTTTAATAATCTAATGCATTGAAGAAAATTGCTTTTAAGAACATCGGTTACTGAAAATGGTATTTTTAAGTTGTTGTTTCTCTTTAAACAAAATGTCAATGTCTTTTGTGCCTAAGATCTTTACTTATAAAGGTTTGTTTTAGATATACATGTCATTATTCCATTTTCAATAATATCAACCTGTAAAAAACAATTCTGATGAAAATTACCACTTCATTCACCACTTTTAATGAATTCCCTTTATAGATGTAATTTGTATAATCATTGGTTTGAGAATTTGATGAGGATTAAGACCCAAGATTTAAAATAATATACAAGAAAATAATATAAAATAAAATCATGACAAATAAAAGCAAAATTAAATATTGTACACAAACTTACCTCAAAGTAGTTGTATGGTGTTCTTTTCCTAGAACTTCTATTTATTCATGAACCTAGAAAAAAAACAAGAAAAAAAACGTGACAATAAGCATAATATCATAGCACCAATAGGTATACACTCAATCGATATGCATACAACATAATGATTACTTAGTCTTGTGACACCAATATTCATAACGATGAGCCTTAATTGTTTGAATAATCAAAAGACATTATCCCGTTGATATAAGAGTATAATCAGTTTCCTTGAAATATCATAATAGAGAAAAGAAACAAACAATTCAGAAAAGATATTAATTGAAAAAAAAACGTTTACCTTGAAATTGATGCACCCTATATCCCTACTTATGGCTAAATCAATATATTTCAAATTCATGTCGATGTGTATGTCGATGTTTAAATAATAAATTTCACATTCAAATTGATTAATTGTTGTTTTATTATATAAGTATGAAAATGATATGCAGAACACACGGAAAATTAAAAAAAAACACAAATAACTTCGCACTTTCTCTTTTTAAACAAGTATTCCATGATTCTGTGTTGATTGTTTATCAAGGACAAGATCAGTATTCAGCACCAAAACCCGAAATCTAATTAGGAGCCAAAGTTTTTGATCATCAATCACAGAATGAAATATTTTTTGTCGATCATACGCTATTGATTTGTAACTAAATGTGAAAGAAAACGGACACATAGGACCTTTTATATTCATGTATTGCTTCAATAATTTCCTCGACATTATGATCAACAGAAACTCGTTTATATAACTTTAAAATAAAATCTCTTCTTCCACTTCCGCTCCATAAAAACTAAGAAATGAATAATAAAGGGAAAGAAAAAAAATAAGAAAAATACAATATAATTGTAGGGAACTATAGAGAACGAAAATAATGGGTCAACAATTGTGGTACTGTAAAAAGTATAGTACTAAAAAGTGCATGCGTAATAACTATTTATTGCTAAATTTAAGATTGCGCAAAACTTCACTAAAATTTAAAAAAAAAAACTTACATTTATTAAATTTATTTTACGCATCCAACTTGTTGTTTACATCACTAGAAAATAAGTCGTACTGATAAGTAATTTGAATATCAAAGGTATATCTTTTTTTCTGAATATACCAATGAACGTACGGAACGCACCACATGCATATTTTATTGATTTGTGTTGGTTGTCATCAGTAACAAATCATCGAATGTTTGTAAACTCATCCAATGCTCCTGTGGGTATGGGACAATTTCATGAGGATATGAATGGGGTTAACATAATACAGAATGATGGGTCGAATCGACAGTAAAATGGACCAAAAAATAAAGATTAGCGAAAAAGGGGGTAAAAGAATAGATAAAAATGGACGGCTTAAATATAAAGAATAGAGAAAAATGACCCAAACATTTAGGAATACAGAAATAAAGGACTCTATCCAGACGTTCCTTTATTGCATGTGGAATACCTTCAGAATGCTTGTTTGTTTTCAGTTATGTACAAGCACACTTGTCTTTGGGATTTTATATAGTTTTTGTCAATTTTTCGGAATGTGTCTATTACGTATGGTTTATTCCAAAGGTTGTGTAAAGAAATGAAATCTTAGTCACAGTAAAACACATGACCTTGGAAAATTAGTGAATAAAATTCAAGCGCCTGAAGTCCACTGAATGTTATCTTAGGATGGTCCAAGTTTTCTAATGTGTTCTTAAACAGTTTTTAAGTTAAGACTCAAAATCTCACCCGAAATCTTTCGTGTCTAGTCAAGAAAGATAATAACTGATGTCGTTTCAATCTAAATATCGACGATATGACTATAATTTTATTTTACCTTGGCAACATAGTACATATTATTTGGTTTTAATAAATTACATCACAACAACAAATAAATGACTAAAGAAATGTTGGAACTATTCCTCATTTTGCAGAATTTCAAGAGTATTCATACACGCGTTTTGGGTATGCATAATAGGATACAGAGGGGAATACGTCAATGACTTAAGAACCCAAAATAATAGATTTAATGGAATAATAAAAAAAAACTAACATCAGCACCAACTTCTCCAAATAACATAAAAACAAATTAAGAAATAACACATGACAATCACTATCGAGGTACCCGAAACAGAACCGGCGGATGAATATGTGACGGGAGTTTTTTTATATCCCAAACCCCCTTTTTACTCTGGATATGTATAGTTACTTTACGGGGGAAATAATCATACGATTAAAATCATTACAGTAAAAAATAATCACCAAAAATACCAGGCTTGTAATTTGGTACGCCAGACTCGCATATAACTGCTACACAAGATAACAAAAAATATTAAATAATAAACAATATTACTGAGATCTACTTACCAAATATATATACTTAGTTATTTAAACCAGCACATACATAGTGGCACAGTACAAAGACAACACATTTATAATATCTGTGTGTTGTATATCCTTAGCTGTTCATTATACACTATTATAGTGAAAAACCACATCAATCCAGATCGAGCTAGTAGGGTCCTTCTCTTCACTGAAGCCGTTCATGCGCAGATTTTGATATATACTTATAGTTACCACGGTTTGTAAAAGTTTAAATACATTCAAGGTCAATTCATTGCAACGATGTGTAGGTACGGAAAAGTTAAATTCCTAAGTTGATTGAAATGTTATATATATATATAGATAATAAATGTATTCGCCATTTCTTACATGGACTTATTTTTTTCTGGCTCAGATACTATTGAAAACCCGACTTTAAAAGGTTTTTTTCTGGCTCAGATACTATTGAAAACCCGACTTTAAAAGGTTTTTGTCGACCTTCTTTGTTTTACATTGTGTTCTTCAAATTCAACATGTCTGGTTTTCCAAATGCTTGACCTCCATATCATTAAGAAAGCAATGTGAGTGTTTTTCAGACTGATTTGATAGGAATCTTGTTTTGGGCTCGTCTCAGCGTGCCTCATGAATGCTGTTTCAGAGACACGTGTTGAACGCATTGAAATCATATTGATCAAACTTTTTTTTTAAATATATCTTTACTGGGAGGGGGACTATTGCCAGCTGACTATTGGTGACGTGTGCTATCTTACAGAAAGCAGTCAGTAGAGTCATAACGCTTGCAATTAAAATGATTAAAAACATTGGAATCAACACTTTACAAATTGCATGCGTCCGAAGCACTTTTCAAGGTTACCTTCATCAGGAACGCCCGAAGCCGAATATTTAAAAGGATACACGTTTGATAACAGAAGTTCAAAATGCTATATTTTATCATTAAATACTTTTGTCACAAATTAGTGCTACATTGTATTCGTACTCCCGTGTATATCGTCATTAATTTCGAAGTAATTTGGCATAACTTGTGGACCAAATTTAAAATCATAAGAATAGTCACACCAAACCACATATAAGTGATTAATTGTGTAGGTTCTTTCGTTGATTTCAAATTTTAAATTAGGAAGAACCGATTTCTTCTGAATTTACTTCACACAATGGCAGTTTTCTAAAAGTCTCCAATTTTTTCTAAAACTCACCGTATCATAGATTCATATGATGACCTAAAGGTTTTAAGTGCACTTCGGCATATTTCCGAACAAATGACCAAATTATAAATGCACACAATTTAATATGATTTGGCAAAATTTGAGGAGTTATCCGGAAAATTAAGAAAACTCATCAAGGATACCAGGCTTATAATATTGTATGCCAGACGCGCGTTTCGTTTTCAACAGAGTCAGTGACTTTCGATTAAAAAAATTAAAAAGGCTAAATAAATTATGAAATTGAGGAGCATTGAGGACCAAAAAAATCCGAATGGTTTTGCCAAATACAGCATATTGGGTAGACAATCCATAGCATTTCGAACACTTCAAAGTTTTGTAAACAGTTAATTTATAAATATGACAATATCAATGATAATTTATGTCAACAGACGGACTTTCTCAAACAAAAACAAAAACTCAATTTGCATTGTTCTTCATAAATGAATAGATTTGTTTTGGTTAAAGTTGTCCTTCGATTGAAAATTTTACAAAAACATTCAATGAGGGCTAATTTCCGATGTATGTGTTTCACTCACACTGTCAAAATCAGAAAGTAGTCAAATCATATCGGAAATTGAATATGAAAGAATTCGTGCCATATCCTTTAATTATTTTCTTACGACAAAAAAATATTTCAATGAAATAATAAAAAAAAATTATATTCAGCGCTAAATGTTGCTGTTGCTGTTTAAGACATATTGATACAACACTTCACTTAACTTTGTCTTTGTCAAATTTTGTATTGAAGGGCCCAAATGAATTAACTTGTGTCCGAAAGACGATACATACTTTAGTGACACCATATTTGGGGTTTTGGTTAACTTCTCATATATATTACATTTTTGGCATAAATACTCAAAATTTGTAAAAAAAAAATTGTCAAAATTGCGGTTTTAGACTACCTAAGGCGTTAAAAAGTTAATAATCTGTTAAGAAATAAGACATTATAGTGTTAGAAATTTAAAAGTTCACTCATTGGGATAAGATATTATGAACTTAAGTGAAGACGGAACATTTTTTTTAAACGGCCCTGGTGTGAAATTGATTCAAGGGAAATTGATCCTTAGCTAAGTTAAACTCTTTGCAATATTATCTGCAAGAGATATGTATAGCGCTGCACATGGTTGATATTATGGTATTATGCTGAATTGTTGGAAATTTTTTTCATGCAGCATATTTCATTGACTTATATTCGAATTCCGGTAGGTTCTAACACCGTTTTGATTTTGATTATGTGAGTGAAACAAAAACAAGGGAAATTGGTAAAATCTCTTTCAAGGACGATGTATCTAATTTTGGTTTAACGGATACCAAACATGTTGAAATAAAAGATTAATAGACCTAGTCCCCAGATGAACATAATCAAGGCCGTCGAACCGTTGTGTGTTTGAATAATGGGTTGTCGAACCGGTAGTTGTTGAACTTACAGGCTGTCGAATTGGTAAGGGTTTGGCTACTAGGTTGTCGAACCGTTAGGTGATGGATTTATGGGCTGTCAAACCGTTTGGCGTTGGACTAATGAACTGTCGAACCATTAGGTGCTTGATTAATGAGCTGTCAAACCTTTGGGTGTTGGATTAATGGGATGTCGAACCGTCGGGTTTTGAACTAATGAACTGTCGAACCGTTAGGTGTCGACATGATCAGGATAAAGCTACTCGTAGCGTGTCCATTGCGGAAAAAGAATAGATTACATAGCATTGAGAATGAGTCTTTAGATATATTTCTGTCAGTCAACAGTATTTGAAACCTGTCAAGACATTTCTTATCAATAACATTTTCCAAAGCTCATTGTCGACCGAAATATTTTAACATATTTGATAAACAGTGTATATACTATATTGTTTCTATAGTTCTTATGAACATTTTTTTGTGACTACGTGTGACATGCATAAATAATAAACAATATATTTCTGTATCTAGATCATTTGGAAAAGCTTGCCATGGAGTGAAAACAATCTTTTTCAAAATGAAATACTTAACAATAATTTTAACAAGTTCATACGTGTATATCCTAATTTCATGGTAAAAACTTGTACATTAAATGACGGTCAGTAACTTCTTTTTAGTGCATAAGACATGAGTGTTTAGTATAAGCAACTGACCTTGCATTATACTTGCTTTGTTGAATACTGTTATTTATCTTGCACTTTAGTATATAAGCAACATGACTGTAGGAATCCAGATCGATCTGGTTGTACATATAAGTATGTCTTTTAATTGTTCACGTGTAACTGCTGATGTCGTTTTCTGATGATCTATGTGTTGACATTTGGTTCGTTAGTAGTCCTTGAAACAGATAATTAAGTTAATGAACTTTGCGTTGTTTTTGATTTTTTTTTTTGATTTTTTTGCTCTTCTAGAGAGGACGAATCTTATGGTGCGACACAGTAGACTCAAACAAAGGGAAATATTTTTTTTATGAAAAGAGATGGCAACAGCTGTTTATAATACAGTTATATTTATAGTATATTTCATCATTTAATTGAGTTATCATTTTTTTCCCCTGTATATTATAGTTTAAGATAAATAGGGTAAAAAGTATTTATT